ATTATTTTCATAATATAAAACGTTTTAATTTATTTCGAAAATTATGATTGATAATATGATTTTTTAATGTTTGTGAGCAAAAACAATAAGCTTTCGAATAACGCTAATTAGAAGGTGGTCGAACTGAACGCACTACCGGAAAACATCAATTGAAAAATTATTTTATCTTTTTCAGCTAATGATAATTGATGATTATTTGGCATCGATTGTTCTACATAATGTGGTCTAAGCCAATATGAATAGAACCACGAAATTTTTTTTTTGATATCTTTTATGGTTACGCCGAAAAGGGAGTTTGAAAAAAGGGGCCACTTTCACATATTTTCAATGATATCTCGGCCATAAGGTGAGATACAAAGTTGAAAATTGGTATATCGGTTTTTTTCAAAAAGACCTTTAAAATGGCGTATAAATTATTTAAATACCAGGGTGGAGCTGATTCTGTATGGCAAAGCGCCCATACCCTTTATAGTTTCTTAAAAATCTAATTTTTTTAAAGTAATTTTTTTTTAAAAAATGTTAATCGTTTTTAAAAAAATAATAATTATTGGTACGGGAAGTTCCAGCAATTTGCCTTAAGACACGATGCCATTCGCCCCACTAGTTGCTATTAAAATCAATGAACTTATGAACTGGTACTAATGATTTTTATCAATTTTATGGCAGTAATCAGGTGTTTGATGGAATTGATCTAATAACTGACGAAAGGATCCATCGGTAATAAGAAGAGCCTTGCATTTACTTTCAAATACCTCTTTTCCCATTCTGAGCCCGGAAAAGGTTGGTTACGAACGATAGATATCCTGTTCCATTTAGGTTTATGCATCATGTGCTGATGTCCCAAAAAAAAAAATTATTAAAAAAATGTGAAATAAATAAAAGAAATAAGCAAAGATAAAACATGCGTTATAATATTAATGAACTAATCTATTTAGATAACTAATTAATTGTTAGACTTAGATATCTATTTCGTGTGAAAAAATTAATGAGTAAATTTTCCAATAGTATAAATCCTAAATTTTAAATCTTAAAACTGGTTAAAGTATTTTTATCTTAAAATAATGCAACAATAGAAAGATTTTGAAAGGTTTTTGCAGGACGAAAAGTATTATGAATTTATAGTGTATCAGTACTCAGTAGTAACGTATCTTTGTATCTTCCTCAAAGATTGTGTGCACATTCACATGACTTTCGTTTTCTAGAGAAATAAAATTGTATGAATATTAAATTTTAAATATGTATATGTATATATATATATATATATATATATATATTAACTTTTTTAACTCCTCATAGGGTAAGTTATAGTAATCGGAAAAAATCGAAAATGAAATTTTTTGCATATCCTTACGTTTCAAAGGTTTCTGAACATTTTGGCGTACCTTAGAAAAAATGGATGTATGTGTGTGTGTTTGGATACAAATTTCCGTCGACGATTTCGGGGACGAAAAAACGTTCGATTTCTATTGATAAGGAGAGGTGCTGATTACTTTTTGACAAAAGCAGGTCCAGCCCTAAAAAAAGCCATTTGGTGGTCAAAAATGACGATTGGACATACGCACATCAAGTTATCAGATATTTTATAGAGATTTTAATAATTATTACAAACTTTGTTTACAATTCTATGAGTTCCGTACCGATGTTTATCAGTTAGACTGCGACGTGGCGCTTACGCGCGTCGATATTTCATCTGTACGCACCTAACGCAGCGCGATTGCTTTATAAAAATTTCAAACATTTCAGAATATTAAAAATAATTCAAATTTTTAAAAAGTATTTTTTTTTTCAAAAATTTCACTATTCTCAAAAATCTATTTATTTTGGTGCTCAATTTTTAACTTCCCGTAGGGCAAGTTATAGTAATCGCAAAAAAATCGAAAATGAAAATTTTTATATATCTTTACGTTTCAGAGGTTTCTGAACATTTTGGCATACCTTAGAAAAAATGAATGTATGTGTGTGTGTGTGTGTGTATGTGTGTGTGTATGTATGTATGTGTGTGTATGTATGTGCGGATACAAATTTTCGTCGACGATTTCGGGAACACGGATCAACCGATTTGAATAATTCAAAAAACATTCGATCCGTATTGATAAGGAGACGTGCTGATTAGTTTTTGGCAAAGGCAGGTCAAGCCGTTCCGAAGATACGGGGCAAAAAGTTCCGAAAACGGTAACTCAGTTTTTAAGAGAACAGAGTGTCAGATTTTAATAATTCAAAAAACATTTTATTTGTATTGACAAGATAAAGAATCGATACAACTTTCATGAAGGTAGGTCCAGCGGTTTCGGAGATATAGAGGAAAATGTAAAAAAATGAGCCATTTGGCGGTCAAAAATGATCATTAGACATATGCACATCAAATTATCAGACATTTTATAGAGATTTTAACAATAAGTATACATTTTGTTAACATTCCTATCGGTTCCGTACCAATGCTTATGCGTTAGACAGCGACGCGGCGCTTACGCGCTTTATATTTTGTCCCTATGTAGTTAAAGCAGTACGATTGCTTTGAAAAAAAAGTTCAGATCTTCCACAATATGTCAAAATAAAGAAAAATTTTTTTTTTAATTTTTTTTTTCAAAAAAAACTAATTTTTTGTCCAATTTATAGTTTCTCAAAAATCTTATTTTTTCAAAGTAATTTTTTTTTCAAAAATGTTAATCGTTTTAAAAAAAAATAATAATTTTTGGTACGGGAAGTTCCAGCAATTTGCCTTAAGGCACGATGCCCTAATTGCCTTAAGACAGAATTCCACTTACAGCTAGTTTTTTATAAATTTGAATTTTTGGTATGGGAAGTTTAAGCAATTTGCCTTAAGGCACGATGTCATGCACCAGTAGTTAGTACAAATAATTACCAGGATTTGCAAAATTCCGAAACTCTGGCTTTCAAACAGCCGATACATAATTAGAATCGTGTATTGGTATAATTATTATTAAAGGCACAGTAGCAAATGCTATGCGAGTTATGCCAAGTATTCAGCTGAGTAAATTCATCAATAGTTTAAAATCTGTGCTGGAAAGTGAAGAATTCGATCGAATTCTGATGTAACGATATATTAAAACTTACCTGAAACTTGATAGTTTAGAATTCTCGTTGTCGGTCAATACCTTTTGAATAATGAACACATATGTAGTTTTCTTTCACAGATTTTCAGAGATTCGTGGAACTTTTTTTTAAATACATTTTCTTTATATTATATTGACCTTTATTAAAAAAATATTTTAAGTGAATTTATCAGATAAAAAACAGCAAGCATTTCACGACGTTAATTGAAATTAAAATTAAAACACTAAAATCGCTGTTTTGTTGCCTGCCTGAAAATTTTAGAATTTAAATATCCAAGAAAGTTGTTGAATTATTTAATTGAATATTCAAAAAAATAGTTTTCTCACACGTTCTATTTTTCGAGGAAATCGCCAATCTTAGAAGAGAATTCGTTAAAATCTTAAATAATATTAGTTTTAACATCTTATTACATTTTATTAAATTTCAATATTTTATTTATACTACTAATATACACGAATTTGCATATATTTGTTAGTATCAATATAGCTGATATTACGGAGAATTATGAAATTGTCTGCGACATTCTGCCATGATGTGTGCCGCATAACGATATCCATCGATGTAAATTGGAAAGTGTTTTAATTGTTTATTATTATTATGCAGCCAATCAGAAATTATTAACTATGCCAATTAGAGTAGTTTAACAATAACACCTAATTAAAAATTAAAATAAAGTTAGAAGCACGTAATCATTACCTGGTTTACGTAATATATACTTCGTTATGTACCATTGTTTCATTTAATTAAATTTTATTTTTGCATGCGGTTTCTACAATTAAGAAGTATCATAGTTAATTAAAAATCATTTGTCAAATTTAATAATACTATGAAGTTTTTCAGGTGAAGATCTATTTGAGAAAATAATTATGTTTTGAAAATAATTTCACTACCTTTTTTTTCAATATTAGTTACAGTATACACGTAATATTTTGCTTGCAGACAACTGCGCGAAAATTCAAAACGTTGAGGATTGCATGTACTAGTTCTTTTTTATTTCCTGTAAGCCAATGAACACAAGCTTATCTTTGAAGGATTTATTAGAATTTTGTTTTCAATGAATGCCTTGGTAGATTTTTTTTTGTAAAATTGATAATGTTGTACCTGACAAGTACGACAAGCAAAAAATTTTACCTGTGAGAAGTTTATAAACTTGTATATGCATACACATCAACATATACATGCATGTATATACATTGCCAAAGAAAAAAATTATTTAATCTGAAAACTAAGTTTTTTCAGTGAAGTTAAATTTATTTAAACTGAATATGTGCCGTTGTTAACGATAATGTTTTCCCATTTTTGGGGTGGGATCAAGATGTCATCGGTGAAAACTTCTGTGGTTTCTGGTTGAAAAACTGAATCAATTGATTTCATAGATTTCCTTTGTAACCAGTTAAATTCTATTGAGAGAGTATTGCAGAGGTCGAAACAAGTTTTGGTCAAAGAGTGCTATTACTGTACGGTGGATGCATCAATACTTTCCAACCATGATCTCGCAACTTTTGGCAGGTAATCAAAGAAGTGTATGATCGGCCAAAGTCATGATAGAATAAAATATCTTTTTTTTTACAATTTACTGGTGTAATCTCTCTTGTTAGTTACAGTACAGTCGAGCATCAATTGTCTGTCCAACTAGAAGTAGCTCATGATGGACAATTTCTTGTCCAAGAATGTTTAAATCGGATGCCAATCCACTGATTAGGCTTCCGGGTATGATAGTATCCTGTTTTGCAGTAACGTGGTCGTTTTCGTTTCAGTCTTTCATCCCTGTGGGCCCTTTCAAGGTGCATGGATTTGGGTGCTTACGATTTTTTTTGTAATTATTGCTTTGAATCTGGAATTCCTCATGTACTGTGTTAATATTTAGATCTTTTGGTATGAGCGAAATTTGAACATATTTAGAACCATTTACTTTTTTCAGAAGTTTATTTTGGATTCTTTGGACAATTGTAATATATGATTTTTAGGACGTTCGCCAAAGTTGGATTCCGTGCGTCTTTATTGGTTTCAGCATTTTTTTTGTACAGTAACAACTTATTCCATGAGCTTAATTTGCATTTTCCGTTCAATACAGTTTTCTTCAAGTTGTTGACTTTTCTTTTCGATATGGTATTTCCAAGTGAGTTTTGAGTCTAAATGCAGTCTGAAATACTTGACGACATTTGATAGTTGTAAAGTTGTATTAAACAGGCTAACTGGAGGACAGCTTCATTTACAAACCTGCGCTGCGTTTTTTCCTTTATTAGAAAAATATTACAGGATATATCGCATTTTTCTATTATTTTTCTCCATTTTCAAACTAAAATTAAAGAATTGAACTTAACCAAAATAACTCGAAGCTAATGTTGCATGGCATCGTGCTTCAAGATAAAAATAAAATGGATCAATAATCAATGAAAATTGATCAATGAGTAATAACAATTGTTTTAAATTATTTAAAATAATTATTATAAATACAGTACATTTTATAGTCGTATGTTATAAATCTAATATAATATAGGTGCTTATATTTGGACGATGAGTTTTATCTATGTTTATCTAGGTTCTAGATCTAGAGAACAAAAACATAATAAACAAACACCGTCGACACAAACAAAATTCTTTTTAAATCACTCTAATCGGATGCGCCGTTCTCTCATAAACTGCTATTCTTTGCACTTTTGCTCCGTATCTGCAAAACCACTGAACCTGCCTTCGCAAAAATTTCAATCAATACGATTTGAACTTTTTCGTGAGCTTATATATACTCATTAATATTATAGTTCAAAATTTTCAAATTCATCAAAATTATATTAATATAAATCATAAACTAAAACAAATTTATCTTTTCAAAAACGGTTATATTATAATATAAAATAATAATAAAATCACATTCACAAGGTTACACTTTTAAATTAATATCACTCAAACATACTATACAAAAAATTTATAAACAAATATACTGAGAGTTGCATCGATAGAATCAAAAAGACATGAAGAAAGAAAAATAATGCACAATACTCATTCATAGCTGCAAAAATAAAAAATTAAATTATTTTCTTAGAGTGAATTTAACTTTAATTGGGTCTTTGGGCCTCAACACCAAATCCAAAAGGAATGTTATATCTTGTGGACGCGTAATTGGGCTCAGGGTGTACTTTCTTAGGATACCAGACAAGACGGATTTCATCTCAAGGAGGACAAACTTCTGGCCTGCAAAAAATTAAAATAATTTAAAAAAAATAAATAAAGTTTTATAAAAGAGTTAAAATAATAAATATACGTTAAGTACCATTACGAAAGAATAGGATTATTATGATCGTGGTTTAAATTACTTACTGTAAATTATTGCATGTTTTTAGTTAATAAAGTTCAAAAAGATGTCAAATGAAAAGGGCCGTAAGAATTTTGGTACACCATTTTTTCTTAAATGGATTTTATTTTTTTATAAACAAAATCATTAATTTTATTAATCATTTTTTAATAATTTTAAAATTGTTTGTACCGATTATACAAAACATACTATCATATAAGAAGAATTCATTTTTCTTTTACTTAAACAAATTATAATATTTCTTTAATTTCGTTTGAATTTTAAAATTTTAACTTGAAGTTACAATTGTTCTCGGCCCTGAATATCTATATGTCTTCTTCATTTTGAATTAACCAGAAATAAACAAAATTTATTTTATAATTTCAATTAGAGTTCACGTATTTAAAATAACAGTTAATAATGAATGATACAAATTAATTATTAAATATAAGCAAATTGAGTTTAAAATTAGTGGTTAAATATATGTAAACATAAGATTAATTATTTTTTCCAATTTGATATGTATCTTTAAGCGATATTATAACTTATTTAACAAATACTTTTTCCATAGGCAACTATTCTAATTTTTATAGATATAATTTGTCTGATATCATTAGCAAATGATTCTATACAACAAATAAACAAAAATAGTAATTATATGAAAGTTATTGATGTAATATAATACAATTATTGCAAATTTGAATAAACGTAAACATTGAAAACTTATGGTTGCACCTTTTTGTTGCTACAAGCTATCTCGTAATAATCAGAAGTTGATATTGCAAATATTTTCATCAAGAAATATGAATATAAAATTTCATAATATACGCTGCCAACATCAAGCAAATTGTGAATATAAAATCGTCGAGATTTTTAAAATTATTTATTTGCTATCAGAACTTGAGGGTCCTATGAGTTCTGTTGAATTTCTTACAAACTGTTTTTGTTTTTTATAGATTTTATAGATTAACAAACAGTTGTCACGTCTCTATGTGGTGATTTTTAACTTCTCGAAGGAAAGGAGAGAACTTCCCGAGGAAAAGTTTATGTTTCGCAAAAAAATCCGAAATTGTTCACTTTTCAGCTCACAATGTTTAATAGATTTTAAAATTCGAAAAACTGTTTAAAAGATATTTATTGGGAATCGCGTTGATAAGTCTTTGGTGAAGATCGGCCGCGCCCTTTCTTCGTAATTAAATGTTGAAAATTATATTTTGATGATATTGATGAAGCTTTGTACAACAAAGGTTTTTGTAGTATGAAATAAAATACTAAAATATTATAGGCCTGAAATGAAATAACATACTAAGTTATTATAGGCCTACGATAAGCGCTTGAATTATGAAAATTCATCAAATTTTAGAGTTCTGTCGCGCGTTTTTGGCGATTCTAATCAGAATATATACCGAGAAAATATGTACGTTTTGTGTTTCGTAAGAATCTGTACTGATTATAGTTGACAAATAAAATACATTTTCAGAACCCCAAAATAAAAAGTAAAATATGTTAAACAAATTAATTTAATTTATAAATTTACAGATATTATAAGCATGTTTGAAATAATTTTATCTAAATAGCCGAATCTTAATTCTTGTTGATTAAGTTGATTAAGCATACGTAACGGAAGTTAATGCAACTTGTCTTAAGGCAGAATGCTACTTACAACTAGTTATTATTACGATTATTGTAATAGTTATAATTTTTTATTGATGCAGCAATGTCGGATAAGCGCTATTTCCATTTGAAGACATATTGCTATCTAAATTTCCAAGTAAAAACTGATGTCACTACTGCTTGCCATCAAGCTGCTCAAAGTGCGTATCAAACCCGAAACCTCTGATTCAGGTCTATTCGCCACTTACCTAAAATCCTAGAAATGGCTTAACTAATTTGAAAACCAATTAAAGAAGTATTAGGAACATCTTGCCAAAAATACTACCATCTAATTTTCGGTTAAAATTAATAGTATATAAATTTTCGCATTAGACACTCTACACCAAAATAGCCCTCGTCAATAACTGCTGCTTTGTCTAAAATCGAATTACTGATTCGATTATTAATTTTACATCATTTATATACGTCGTTATCTTAATTTGCATTTGTTCTACCTATAATATTTATCTTTATTAGCTCTTATTTTGAAATCGATTTCTGGAACACATAAACATGAATGAATGAATTAATCGCGTTATCATAATTTAGTCATTCGGTTGCTTTTGCTTACATTTGTTAGAAATATTTCCTCCATATATTTTTTTTTGTTTTTATATAAATATATAATAATGACGTATTTTCACACGTTTGTTATTAAAATATCTTGCGATTAATTAACTTCGATTATAGACTTAATATTATATTTTGCTTTTTGGTAAAAATTTTTAAAATCTTCATAAACATTGATAACTTTCTGAAAAAAATTCAAAATATATTAATAAACTAACTCTTTATAAATAACAACATATCATTTAAAATTCGATTTGCTAATTTTATCCTATTATGTATTTGTATATTTTATTATTTCAAGTCATTCTGAATCGTTTCACACCAATCGTGTTTGTGTTTATGTTGCGTGTATGTGTATGTATGTGAGCCAAGTGAACCTACCAAATTTAACAGCCAAGTCATTTGATGTAACTTGCTAAAAGGACTCGTAGGGCCTTCACGTTTTTGCTAAAAATGCTAAACCAATTTTAAAAAATCATGAACTTTTCAAGAGATATCAGCTGGGAATCGTGCTAATTAGCAAGTATCGACCGGTCCGTTTCTTCGTAATTATTTGTTAAATTATTTTTGACGATCTTTATAAAAAATTATATAATGATAGTGTTCATTATCTACATGAATGCATTGCAATCGAATTCACAAACAATTTTTTTACACCTACTCTTGTGTCAGACTTTTTTACACCTACTCTTGTACCAGTAGAGAAACATATACATGAATACGCTGAAAAATCTCGAAGTCGTTTTTGAGAAAATGTTGACTCACTACATCAAAAAGCGACTTTTGACACAATGTTTGACTCTCTTTGAAAGTATGATGAATTTTTAAATTTAGACCACTTTTCGTAGGGACTTAATATTTCAGTACGTTTAGCATTGCCATGATCTCTACCAAAACTGATCAGGGCGAATCCGTACGAATATCAGTTTTCAAAATCTTAAAATCGATTCAGCATTGCGGCCTAAAACGTGGACAAATGTTTACTTTTCTGCATATTACAAACGGCTTGAACTCCTTTTAAATTTTTGAAATCGGTGCTGCCGTTTACGATAAAACGTGGACGAGAGTCGAGAGATCGAAAAATTGGTTTACATACACACACACGTACACGCATGCTGTTTCCATATTTGGTCTCATTCGATACAGAATGACTTGAAACGTCGAGTAAACATAAAAATAACCAATCAATTTTTGTGGTTGTTTTCGCCAAAACCCTCCTTCGCGATGTTAAAAACACCATAATACCATCTTCATTCTTTACTCGTAAGATGTAAATATGGTTTTAGTGTTCAAAAAGATTTTTATTATTTTTTTCTTTTCGATGTTTCCAATTTTTATTTCTATTTTTATTAACTTCCCGTAGGGCAAGTTATAGTAATCGCAAAAAAATCGAAAATGAAAATTTTTATATATCTTTACGTTTCAAAGGTTTCTGAACATTTTGGCATACCTTAGAAAAAATGGATGTATATGTGTGTGTGTGTATGTATGTACGTGTGTGTATGTATGTGCGGATACAAATTTTCGTCGACGATTTCGGGAACACGGATCAACCGATTTGAATAATTTAAAAAACATTCGATTCGTATTGATAAGGAGACGTGCTGATTAGTTTTTGGCGAAGCCAGGTCTAGCCGTTCCGAAGATACGGGGCAAAAAGTGCCGAAAACGGTAACTCAGTTTTTAAGAGAAGGGAGCGTCCGATTTAAATAATTGAAAAAACATTTCACTTGTATTGATAAGATGAAGAATCGATAAAATTTTCATGAAGGTAGGTCTAGCGGTTTCGGAGATATGGAGGAAAAAGTAAAAAAATTAGCCATTTGGCGGTCAAAAATGATCATTAGACATATGCACATCAAATTATCAGATATTTTATAGAGATTTTAACAATAAGTATACATTTTGTTAACATTCCTATGGGTTCCGTACCAATGCTTATGCGTTAGACAGCGACGCGGCGCTTACGCGCTTTATATTTTGTCCCTATGCAGTTAAATCAGTACGATTGCCTTGAAAAAAAAGATCTTCCACAATATGTCAAAATAAAGAAAAATTTTTTTTTTCAAAAAAAAAAATTAAAAAAAAGTTTTTTTTTTTTTTAATTTTTTTTTCAAAAAAAGTAATTTTTTTTCCATATATATAGTTTCTCAAAAATCTTATTTTTTCAAAGTCGCTTTATATTTTGTCCCTATATGCAGTTAAATCAGTACGATTGCTTTGAAAAAAAAGTTCAGATCTTCCACAATATGTCAAAATGAAGAAAAAAAATTTTTTTTCAAAAAAAAAAAAATTAAAAAAAAATTTTTTTTTTTTAATTTTTTTTTCAAAAAAAAGTAATTTTTTGTCCATATATATAGTTCCTCAAAAATCTTATTTTTTCAAAGTACATTTTTTTCAAAAATGTTAATCGTTTTTAAAAAATTAATAAATTTTGGTACGGGAAGTTCCAGCAATTTGCCTTAAGGCACGATGCCTTAATTGCCTTAAGACAGAATTCCACTTACAGCTAGTTTCATTTTTAATTCAAACCAGGGATTGAATACACACATCTGTTTTTAGTGCTACCATCTATTCGAGTCCAAAACATATTTATCGTAGTAAATAAATTTTACCAGATGCAATGAATATGAGGTTGCCTAGGCCTCAGGGGATAAACTGTAAGCTCAGGATGTTCATTTGATTTTACTTAATTTTCAGAAACCGTTCTCCAAAAATGTCCGTATTAAATGCTGCATTTTTTACTCTGTCCATTATACCTCAAATTATAATTTAACGAGATGTAATTGGCATTATGCCTTAAAATTAGTTACAAAAAATTTCCTAGTTGATGATCGTATTATCAATCGATTAAGAATTGAAATTTAGCAACTTTAAAATTGTCACGTTATAATTTTATGTCGTAAATTCAAAACTTTGACAAATATTCATAATTATCTATATCATCATATAAAGTTTCTGTAAAATTGTAAAAAAAAGTTTCAACAATAACTGCGAAGAAATGGCTCCGCCAATCTTTACCAATAACTAATCAGCACTGCTATGTCAGATTTCGAATGGTTTTTAAGTTTTCAAATTCGTTTCAGAAAACAGATTTTGGGAAAACGTGGACGAAAAATTTGCAGTTTTTTCTGCTGAACGAATCGATTGATTGCCTTGAAAAAGTAATCAATGTGCGTCTCGTTGAGATATCAAATGGCTTTTAAATTTTTGAAATAGTTGCAGCCGTTTGAGAAAACGTTGCCGAAATATAAATTTTGGCGCGCAAACTCGAGGAAACATAAAAATAGCAAATTAGATTTTCTGGTAAAACATTAACCTCTTCAAAAGTTAAAAACCATTGTAATCGTGTTATAAATTAGAAACCATTAAAATCAACCAAATTGTCATACTTGATCTTCCATATACGCCTCCCCTAGACCACATGCAATATTTTCAGGGTATTGCAATTCAATACTTCCTCCTTTCTCCTTTGCAATATTATTATATTGCAATTTTACCAGTATCAATTTTATCACTATTAATCAAAAATAAAATTATTTTCATCAAAATATGACAGTTTTGTAAAACCCTTTTGTTTCGAGACTAAAGCCCAGTGAAATATTACATAATTATTATAATAATTACCTATACAGTTCCTTGGTCCGGCACTGAACGGTATATAGGCGAAGGGGTGCCTCTGCGCACATTGCTCGGGCAAAAAGCGATCCGGGTCGAACCGCTCCGGCTCTGGATAAATGGTCGCATCTCGGTGGAGATCGAATATATGGATGTGCACAGTCTGTCCCGCCGGTAACAAATGTTTGCCTGTAAAATAATATCAATTTTAATAAATATTATATATAGAATTTATAAAGAAAACTTTGAAAACTTACGCATATTTGTTGGAATTAAATCGGATTTGGAGAGGTATGAAAGTCGCTTTAAGAAAAAATGACATTATACTGCCAATGATATCAAATCCAATTTATAAAAAATAAAGCATTTAGCTTTTCTAATTTTGTAGGGAAAAAAAGAAAAAATATTTTGTCATAAAAATATGAACATCGTTTTTGTAGTAGTAGGTCATGTACTTATAGTAATATCTTAGTAATATATTTTAATGAATAGAATTAATAAACTGTATTAATGCTCATATAAATGAAACTTAAAGCCAGAGCTTATAATATTTATAAAGGGTGTCCCACACCTTGACGTCAAGCTGAAACGGGTGATAGTATTGACCAAAAACTGTCCTGAAAATAAAATAGAAAAAAAATATCTCGCGTTGTTTGGAAATTATGAGCTTTCACATGCAATCTAGAGCTTTTCATATTGCATTTTTGATCCATTTTTGGTTATTGTGGTCAGTTTTTACCAATTTTGTTCATTTAAACTTTGGAACTATAATTATGAGTAACATTTCTAAGATCACAATCAGAAGTTTTCAAGAAGTTTTGGTATGACCCATTTTTGGTTATTGTGGTCAGTTTTTACTAATTTTGTTCGTTTAAACTTTGACTACACACTTTAATACATTTTTTTATAGGAGGGCCTGTCAAAGTCAACCGATTTTAAAAATGTTAAATTTATAGTTCAACAAAAGGTTTCAATTTTTGAAAACCTGGGGCAATTGTATTATTGTTTTTGATATTTATCACGGTTACGGTTCTAAAGTTTAAATGAACAAAATTAGTAATTGTTTAAAAAATTAAACTAATTAGTAAATAAATTAGAAATTGACCACAATAACCAAAAATTGGTTATAATTTTACTAAAGCTCTAGATTGCACTTGAAAGCTTATAATTTCCAAACAACGCGAGATAATTTTTTATTCTAATTTTTTTCAGAATAGTAAAGGTCAATACTATCACCACGTTTGGGTTTGACGTCAAGGTCTGGAACACCCTGTATATAGTAAGTACTAGTAAGAATCTAGTCTTGTAGAATATACAGATTCAATATATTTTTTATAAAAAATTTGAAGTATTTAAATATGAAATATCTGCATCCATACACATGTTACTAATATGTTCAAATTTGTAATTTTGTAGTAAAGAAACCAAAAATTGTGGTTTGCCTTTAAAACTATGTATTTCTTACTGCTTTTAATTTTATTTATGTAAATTTTTATATATAAGCACTAACGCAAAAATAATTAAATGAATGATACAGATATTTTAAGCTTTTATTAAAATTCGAAAGCTTTACTCGAACGCTTGAAATATTTGCTTGGAGCAAATCTCTCATAATCATTCGAAACTTTTCAGTTGCTGATACGGAATTTGAAGTTATTTTAATAGCATATTTTGAATATTTTATATTTTTACTTAGTTGTAATGGTTCTTCGTTATATCTGGATATAAGTGGCACTGAAGGATAAAGGCGCAGTACTTCTTTGATGCATCTCTCCAAATACTGCATTTTTTGCAAATCCTGCGTCGTTGCCAAACGATCAGAATCGCCAAAAATTTCAGTTAATTCTTCTACGATTGTTTCCTAACAATTAAAAATAATATTAGTTGCTTAATACTTGAACGTAATAATTTAAGGTATATATTATATTTATAATACCTGAACTTCTGGATTATTAGCAAAACACATCATTGAGTAAGTAATTGCCATAGAAGACGTATCATGACCCTGTGATTGTGATATAATTTTATATTAATATTTTCATAAAACGATGATATTTAATGCATTATTAAATAGCATCACGTTCAAAAAGATACCTATAGAGAAGTTTAAGAGTGATTATGTGATTTTACTTCTTACTTCTTGATTATCTAACAAGTTTTGATTTTTTTTTATATTTCCAGAAAATCTTCTTTACGTTTATTAATGACTTTACACGTGAAGGAATGGAGTTGATCGAGAAGAGACTTTGTTTTCGTCCAATTCTTGTGAGTCCAAAGATGATGTCGTTGAATAGCCAGGGACGAATCGATCGATATACCAGGTATTCACCTTGTCTTAATTGCAAATAATTTTTTAATGAGTTTCAAATTTCTAAATTTTATATCTCATGAAATTAAAGAATGATATTAGATACAGTTACCAACAAAAGATTTTTTGGTCACAATAATCGGTGATATCACAATACGAATTTGTTTTATTTATTTATTAGTTATTAGAAGGTAGTTTCAAAATTATACTGCTTTATAATATTTACTCTATGGATGGTGACTGGCTCTTTCTTTATATTTTATATAGCTTAAATTCTATCTATGGTAAATTTGGTAAACTGACCTTTGGTAAATTTATTCATTAAATTATTTATACCTTTCATACATTTATATAAAAATTATTTTTAATATAAAATTTACGAAATCAACTCATGTTGCTACTTGCTACAAGCTTTTGCATCCAATATGTTTGTTGTTTCTTAAATTACTCATTACGTTCGTCTCACATACGATTTGTGTTAGTTCGTTTAAAATGAAACATGTTATAAGACAGGATTCGATAAAAACAGATCTCTTACACAAGTTTCGTTCATAAAAAATTTAGTTTTGATTAGTAGACATTTTCCATAATTTCTAGTTTTTAACTTCCCGTAGGGCAAGTTATAGTAATCGCAAAAAATCGAAAATGAAAATTTTTATATATCTTCACATTTCAAACCTTCTGAACATTTTGCATACCCATTATGTTTACTTAAATATGGGCATACCTTAGAAAAAATGGATGTGTGTGTGCGCGTATATGTGTGTGTGCGGATACAAATTTTCGTCGACGATTTCGGGAACATGGATGAAGCGATTTGAATAACTCAAAAAACATTTGATTCGTATTGATAAGGAGACACGCTAATTGTTTTTGGCTAAGTAGGTCTAGCCGTCCGAAGATAAGGGGCAAAAAGTGCCAAAAACTGTAACTCAGTTTTTAAGAGAACGGAGCGTCCGATTTTAATAATTCAAAAAAACACTTTACTTGTATTGACAAGATGAAGAATTGATCAAATTTTCATGAAGGCAGGTTTAGCGGGTTCGAAGATCTAGTAAAAAAGTAAAAAAAATGCCATTTGGCGGTCAAAAATGATCATTAGACATATGCACATGAAATTATTAGATATTTTATAGAGATTTTTAACAATAAGTATAAATTTTGTTTAAATTTTTATGGGTTTCGTACTAATGTTTATCCGTTCAGAATTTCCAAAATATTTCAAAATAATTTTTTCTTTAAAAAGTCTTTTTTTTCAAAAAAAAGTAAATTTTTGTCAAAAATTTATAGTTTCTCAAAATTCTAATTTTTTCAGAGTATTTTTTTTATAGTTTTTCAAAATCTCTTTTTTTCAGAGTATTTAAATCTTTTAAAAAAAAATAATTTTTGGTACTGAAGTTCCAACAAGTTGGCTTAAGGCACGAAAAAATTTTTGATGAATTTTTAGGGATGGAAATATTTAATTGAACGAAACTTTCAAATTTTATTTATATATTTCAACATTCTTCTGAATTTTTTTCATTAAAATATATGTCATAATATGCCGGGTATAAGCATTTTGCCGATGCGCGCGACGAGCCGTGTGGGTGTCATTTGGCGGAAAAGATGCATTTTTAATAGTATAGATTTTAGTTGAATCTAAAAATAAAAAAAACGAGAAATTCACCAATTTTTCGCAACTTGGAAAAAAATCATGTTTTTTTATTCAAAATTTCACTTTAGATTGTTTAAAAAGTGGGTTAATTATAACTTTTATTAAGTTTTTTTAGGTTCAACTAGAATATAATTTAATCCTGAATACAATGAATTTTGTCTCGTTTCGATAGGACGTTTAGTTTTTTTTTATCTTTCCGGCCAATTAGAAAGAATCGTAAAAATGAAACACCGAAAAATCGCGCTTCGAAGTTTTCGTTTTGCTCGTATACATGACGCTTGCTCACTATTTTTTCTGTAACTCCGAAAATAATTTGAATGTGTTTCTTAAATTTCAGAAATATATTCTTGGCTAGTTTTGAAAGGCAATATTTGAAAAAAAAAACAGATTTTTTTCAAACCTCTAAATCAGGCTTCCCTTTTAAGGATGCTGCACTATAGTTGTATCATCAAAATCATAGAAATGCAGCACTTGAATTTATTTATACTGCTTCAAATTAGCTTTATTTTAGCTTCAAACCTTAGAAAAACTATCTACAAAAATTGATACAAAAAATATTTACCTGCAAACGGCTTGCTTATATGTTTGGGCTGAATTATCCTGATCAATCTTGAGTCCCATAGCAGTCTCTATTTCAAATATCATATTTTTAATGAGTCATTATATTATTGTGACTAAACAAAAAAGTCTTCACTTATATAGTATTTATTATTAGTTTCTCAAACAGCAATTAGATTATTATCATATCTAATGAATTAATTAGTATGCATTAATCTTAATTAAGGTTATCCTATAATGTCAAAAATAGTTTCTATATCAAAGATTTGGTCAAAAGGTTCACAAACATCACTCACACAATAATTTCCAAAAAAAAATACTATATCAGTCAAGGCGTAAAGATCATTGGCCATAACATGAACTAATTAATAAAGCCAGATTTTACTTGGTTATTAATAATAACATATGAATACTTCAAATTTATTTCAATTTGTATTCTCATATGTTACAATGACGCATATGTGCTGAGTTTGATACTTAATTAAATCGCTTCTTTTTACTCTCGGAAACAATACCAACATAGGATGTCAATACATATTGACTCTTGACCTTATTTATATATTTACTTTAAAAATAATTTTCTTTGTATAATTATTATTTACCGCATATTGTATGTAGTGTATATTCCGTCACCAATGGCACTATATTGGGTTCTTTTCCAATATGTTGCTCCTCTAACTTGCGCACCAAAATTTGAGATTGCTCCTCGAAAATTGGAACAAACTGCTGCAGAATATTAAAATGGAAAGCCGGCGTGAGAATTTTTCTTCTCGATTGCCATTTTCGTCCTAAGACATAACACGAATTTAAGTGATGTAGGTTAAGAGACATAGTTCATTTTTAAATTAGAACTTACCAAAGCTGGTGAGAAGACCTTGCCTCAGCCAGGGATTAAGGAAATCGTATACGTAGCTTTTTTTGGTATGTTTAGTGCTTGATAATACTATCTATAAAGAATTAACAATCAAAGGAATGAAACGGGTTATTCTGAAGTTAATAAGAAAATTTGAAAAATATAGATTGATTGCAAATAAATTAAGATATATTATAATACATTATTATTTGAAAAAAAAAAGCATTTATTGACGTTATATGATAGAGCATAGCTTAAAGATCAGCGGGTAAAAAAGTCCACTATTATTATTTAAAAACAAGCAAAGTATAGAATTTTTTATTGACACTGTTTTAAAGTGGAAGGCAAAAGATTTGTAACCAATCATCACTTGACTTCTTACAACGTCGCAGTCAAGAGATAAATGAAAATGTATAAATATCCATAACAATTTTTTTTTTCATTGGTAGCTTTTTTTAGTTTTGAGTTCTAAAAAGTATTTAGTTTATGATATATGGATGTAAATTTTAAGAATACGTTATTTATTTTTTTTGAAGATATTTTATTATTTTTACGTTAGATTCAAGTTTTTTTTATATAACCTCTATAAGAGCTTACATGTAGGTGGGATAAATATGATCAATTGAACTTTTACATTGGCGAAGATGTAAACAATGAGAAATAGTAATAAAAAAAATTAAGTTTAAAAAATCTATTCTATAGAAGTTAAGTTAAAATATTCCTTTGACCTTTGCTGATGAATATTTTTTTTGAAATACCAGATCAAGGTTATATACAATAAAATCTTTGTAAAAAGAGAAAGAAACATAACACAGAGTTGCCATGACAACGGTCTAATTTACCGTAATTGAAACCTTTTACACGTTAGTCTGGTGCGTGTTGCCATTACGACCATGCCCGACAAAAATACAAAGCATTTTTATTTGATTATTTTATAATCAAAAGTTAACTAACCTGAACGACCTTTTAATATTTTCTTACCTCTATGTCCTCGGGTTTGGCCAAATTCAGGAACATAGTAAACCCAAAACGGCCTTTGAAAATGCCATTGAATTCTCTACCATATTGTCGTAACAACTGAAATATACCGGCTGTAATAGAATCAAATTATCACCTTGAGTCAGGAGTCAATATTTTACTTTCAATTACTAATGTCGCTCACAAGATAACTCATATGTCATAATGAATTTAATAGGGAAAATCGTCATCTTGGTAATTTTGATAATATACATAATCATATATTTATATTGATTTTTTTGTTCATTATAAATGTTATTATGTTATTTTCAGATAAAGACGGGTTAACAATGTCGACGATATAACAGGTCAGGGATACTGCTATTACCAAATTTACTTCTTATCTAACTGAAGAAACGCGTAAAAACTATTTTTGTAAAATTGTTTATTATTTATTTTGCTTTATCAAAAATTTCAACATATCCAAATACACACACACATATATATGTATATATATATATATATATATATATATACCTGAATAGTTTTTTTCGACGTTGGAACATATTTAAAAACAAATTAGCAGCCCTTTCGTCGAAATCAAAACAAAGTTTCTTTCATGTTTAAACACTTAATGTGTGTCATCATTTAGTAATCACCAGCATAAAAGCATAAAACAAAAATAATATTAAATCTATATAAATTTTACACAAAACTAATATTGGATAAAAATAGATAACTATTGATAAAAAAGTTCTATTATTAAAGTTTATCATGAAGTCTAAAATTAAAATCATGCTACCGTATATGGATGACATTGACAAACGCTGAGCATTTATGACAAATTTTTAAATAATTAAAACAATGTATAAAATTATATAATTTTTGTTTGCTTTTAAAGAAGTTTATTATATATAATAATTACTCGATTCTGGAAATAATAGTGGGACAGATTTCCCATTGCCATTTTACCCCCAGTTCCGAAATTGGCTTATTTTCAATTGAAAACATATTTTTGATCTATATTTCGAGTGAAAATGGGCATTGCTGCTGCCCGATGTCAGGTTGTTCAAAGCGGGATTGAACTCGGAAACATATACATATATATATTATATTATTAAATTTTTATATAATTGATGTTGAAATATGTGATATTAGTTTTCAGGGCATACATCAATTAAAATTTGTATGACTTTAAAAATTATTTATTCATACGTTTCACATTGTTTTGTTTATTCAGTGGACTCTAGATTAAAGAACAATAGAAATATTAAATAAAACTAATATATAGTGATATGGTATGAACTTAATGTAATGAATTAATCCTAAGTATTTCATATTATAAGTTCACAATGCACATCCTAAATTATTTCATATTGTAATGTTACAATGAACAATCCTAATTATTTCATATTATAAATGTTCACATGCATAAAAAAATCATCCTTGTATTTTAAGTTAAACAATATGGGCATTGTGATATAATATGAAATAATTAGGATAATTCAATTACATGTATCATACCATATCACTTTCTATATATTAGTTATTTAATATTTTATCGTTCTTTAAATCTAGAGTCACTGAAGATGACACAAAACAAATGGTCGAAACGATGGAATAAATAAAAATTTTTAAAGTCATACAAATTTTTTAATTGATGTATTGCCCTGAAACTGAATATCAACATATATATATATATATATATATATATATATATATTCTTGATGAATGGACAGAAAACTTTTCGGTTATTATTCCAATTAATAAATAAAAACAATATTAGGAAAGGGAAATTAGATGTCTACAAATGCCCAATGTAATTTTTTAAACATAGTCTTACACGATCCAAAAAAGTATATATTATATATATATATATATATATATCATAGGGTCCAAAGTTTATTCACAAAGTACACCGGTGGAATAAAACAGAATTTGTTTCAAGTGCTACTTATGTCGTGTAGTGGAATAACACCAAAATGCGAATTTAATTTTGATACAACTGCGAATTTTTGCTAAAAATGCGTTGCGTCATCATACATGTGTTTATTGTTTCGAAAGATTTCATTCATAAATATATGATAATTAGTGAAACGTCATATATCTGTAAATCAAAGTACATATTATACTATCCGTTAATCATTGCATTATTTGGTCATTAAATAATGCCTCATATCTATTTCTCAAAATAGCAGGTTTGACGAAAATGTTATTGAATTATGTGCGAGATTTTATATTAAATATAATAAAATGTTTTGTATCTCAGTTTAATTACAGTTAAATAAATCATTTAATAGAAATGTATTATGATTCGAATATTATTAGGGTAGAACGCTACTTAAAGGTACGTGGGTAAAAAAGTCCACCACCGATATCTCAAAAACCAGTCAAATTAAGAATTATTTATCAACAATGTTTGAAAGTAGAGGGAAAAATAATGTATAACTAGCTATTACTTTCGGGAGAAAAACGTCAGTGTTTGAAAATCCATAATAAAGTTTTTTGTTAATATTTTTTTTGAATTCTTAATTAACTTCCCGTAGGGCAAGTTATACTAATCGCAAAAAAATCGAAAATGAAAATTTTTATATATCTTTACGTTTCAAAACCTTCTGAACATTTTGGCATACCTTAGAAAAAATGTGTACCAATGTTTAACAGTTAGACAGCGGCGCGGCGCTTACGCGCTTTATATTTTGTCACTATGCAGTTAAATCAGTACGATTGCTTTGAAAAAAAGTTCAGATCTTCCAAAATATGTCAAAATAAAGGAAACATTTTTTCCAAAAAAAAAAAATTTTTTTTTTTAAATTTTTTATAAAAAAATTTTTTTTTCCAAAAAAGTAATTTTTTATCTAATTTATTGTTTCTCCAAAATCTAATTTTTTCGAAGTAATTTTTTTTCAAAAATGTTATTCGTTTTTTAAAAAATAATAATTTTTTATAAGGGAAGTTCCAGCAATTTGCTTTAAGGCACGATGCCATGCGCCCCACTAGTTTTAAGATAGATTCAAAAACTTACTTCGAATTTTTAAGGGGGTTTTTCTTTTTTTTGCAAAAAATGCAAGGTATTTGTTTTTGTTTTTCTCGAAATGTATTTATCATAGAGACATGCGGTTTTTTTTAAGCAAAAATTACAAAATCATAGAATATTACGTAATTTTCTTCTTTTTTTTGCGCAGTCATTTTTTAACCAGGGGGCGCCAAAGTCGGTCTTGCAAAATCGATCTCTTTTGCGGTGTTACAGATAAATCCGTTGCGCATTGCCCGAAACAAAAAAAAGAAACTACGTTGAAGTAGAAGTTTGAATCCAGTCCCCCTACCAAAATGAAAAAAAAGCAAGAAGGAAAAAAATGGCAGCTATTTTAAAAAAAAAGTGTCAAAAAATGCCTTTTTTTAGGGCGAGAAGCTTCGCAAAAAGTTTTTGCGTAATGTTATCAAGTTGTTTGAGGTAGGGGGACTAGGTATTGCCTCATATCTATTTCTCAAAATAGCAGGTTTGACGAAAATGTTATTGAATTATGTGCGAGATTTTTATATAAATATAATAAAATGTTTTGTATCTCAGTTTAATTACAGTTAAATAAATCATTTAATAGAAATGTATTATGATTCGAATTTATTAGGGTAGAACGCTACTTAAAGGTACGTGGGTAAAAAAGTCCACCACCGATATCTCAAAAACCAGTCAAATTAAGAATTATTTATCAACAATGTTTGAAAGTAGAGGGAAAAATAATGTATAACTAGCTATTACTTTCGGGAGAAAAACGTCAGTGTTGAAAATCCATAATAAAGTTTTTTGTTAATATTTTTTTTGAATTCTTAATTAACTTCCGTAGGGCAAGTTATACTAATCGCAAAAAAATCGAAAATGAAAATTTTTATATATCTTTACGTTTCAAAACCTTCTGAACATTTTGGCATACCTTAGAAAAAATGTGTGTACCATGTTTAACAGTTAGACAGCGGCGCGGCGCTTACGCGCTTTATATATTTTGTCACTATGCAGTTAAATCAGTACGATTGCTTTGAAAAAAAGTTCAGATCTTCCAAAATATGTCAAAATAAGGAAACATTTTTTCCAAAAAAAAAAATTTTTTTTTTTTAAATTTTTTATAAAAAAATTTTTTTTTCAAAAAAATCTAATTTTTTTATTGTTTAATTTGTTTCTCCAAAATCTAATTTTTCGAAGTAATTTTTTTTCAAAAATGTTATTCGTTTTAAAAAATAATAATTTTTTATAAGGGAAGTTCCAGCAATTTGCTTTAAGGCACGATGCCATGCGCCCCACTAGTTTTAAGATAGATTCAAAAACTTACTTCGAATTTTTAAGGGGTTTTTTTTTTTTTGCAAAAAATGCAAGGTATTTGTTTTGTTTTTTCTCGAAATGTATTTATCATAGAGACATGCGGTTTTTTTTTAAGCAAAAATTACAAAATCATAGAATATTACGTAATTTTCTTCTTTTTTTTTTGCGCAGTCATTTTTTTTACCAGGGGGCGCCAAAGTCGTCTTGCAAAATCGATCTCTTTTGCGGTGTTACAGATAAATCCGTTGCGCATTGCCCGAAACAAAAAAAGAAAAACTACGTTGAAGTAGAAGTTTGAATCCAGTCCCCCTACCAAAATGAAAAAGCAAGAAGGAAAAAAATGGCAGCTATTTTAAAAAAAAAGTGTCAAAAAATGCCTTTTTTTAGGGCGAGAAGCTTCGCAAAAAGTTTTTGCGTAATGTTATCAAGTTGTTTGAGGTAGGGGGACTAGGTATTGCAGTGGTGAACAAATTAAAAAAAAATGCAAGTCGATCCGACTTGTAGTTTTTTTTGAATTTGTGGCACCGCATTGAAAAAGTCAATTTGAGAAAAACGTATTTAAAGTTTTAAATATAATGTACTAAATACACCATTTAATTTAATGTACTAAATACATCATGTTGTTCAAAGATGCTGACACATTAAAAAGGTCATGTGCATGAGGTATTATAATGAAAAAGAGGCAGCTGGCATACAATAGCTCGCGGAGCAATAAAAAAACGGTTTCAGAGGATCATACATATAGATATATATATAAT